TCAATATTGCTCACCTTGTTATATCATTTCACACGGGAGACAGAACGCAGGCACCTATCATCAAAGACAGCTAGTCAATGTTTTCATGTCTTCCACTCACAATGGCCACGTCTCGCTCACAGGCATAAAGGAGGACTGAGCGGACTGATGAGCAGTAAACCCGCCCTTTGGTCGATAGCCAGCCGGATATCACGTCTACTAAGCCAGAGACGGTGTAAACTGGCATATGCGAAACTAGCCCTCTGTATCCGTGCTGAGATTTCGTCAGAGATCAACCAGTGGCCACTGGCTCATGGTACTTCCCAAGTAAGTGAGGCGGTCAACGTGCTCTACCACTTCACTCCCTATTACTAATCTAGGAATCAGTGTAGTCCAGTCCTGTAACATCATCTCGCATTTCACGGCGGGAGCGAATCACATGTCAAACATTCGTAGATTGCGGCTCAATGTGTTCAGAAGACTCCGCTGTATTTCGTCAGCGTCCTCGCCTACAAGGACTATATGGTCTGCATATTCTAAGTCAACGAGATTATTCCCTGCTGGAAACAAGTCAATCCCTGAGTCGCTGAAGTCACTTAGGGTTAAGTCCATTAGTACATCTATGATGAAGTTGAATAGAAAAGGGGATAATGGGCACCCTTGATGGACATCACTAGTCGTCACCAGTTCAGATGACAACTCGCCGTAAGCCCTCACCTGGCTGGCTGTATGAGTTCGAGTAGAGTTCCTTAATCAGTGCAACGTATTTTCTCGGGATTCCCTTTACAGTCAAGCATCGCCAGAGTACCTCTCGGTTGACAGAATGGATTTTCGCCTTAAGGTCAAGAAATATAATGTTTGTTGGACCCCGGTAGGAATGTCTATGTTCTAGAATCCATCGAAGGGTGAAGATATGATCAATACACCCATTTCCTGGTCTAAAGCCTGCCTGGCTCTCTCATGTTTATTCCTCCTGAGCACCACTTAGTCTACGCATGATTATTGAGCCTAGGACTATAGTACAGTATAGTATAAGCGTCCACAAACCTATGTATTTATCTCCCCGCCCCCGCGGCTTCAGGCTGAAATAGGTGAAGAGGGATTCGAAACTGGGCCACAGACACTGGCTGACGAGTCAAATAAGCTACACCTCTACACTCTGTATACATAAATTCAGCCTTAAGCTAAACACTCACAACAACTTACGTACAATTAAAAAAAGAACAGATGTCTAATGATTACAATACTTGATCAGTTTGAATTAACTATCGTCTTAGAACACTTACTCCTACTATTATTATTATTATTACTTTTAGTGATAGTAGTAGTAGATTCGTTTTGCATAAAAAAAACAAAGCTACTCCTTCTTGATCGCTTTTGTTGCATAATCACACACTCCGATGGAATGTAACAAAATAATTAGGCGAAAAAGGCAAAAAAAAAACAGTTTCAATGAAATGAAAGAAAATAAAAATGAAAGAAAAGATTATGTGAATAGTCTATAACAATGTGTACATATTTCTATTCAAATGAGGTTGAAAATTAATCACATAATTGTTATAATATAGATAGATAGGTAGATATGCATACATAAATCACACTGTAAACCAAGTGTTGAATTTAATTAAAAATGTATATTTTCAAGTGTTGGTTTACAGGGATTTAATTGACTTCACACTTTGATCACAAATTGATTTCACAATTAGAGAACAATATCGTCCCAGTTTGACTGGGAAGTAATTTGGAAACTACTTCCTTGTCAACCTCATTCAACAGCTGGATATATGACAATGCCACGTGTCAAATGAATGACAACGGAAAACTCAGAAAGGTGTTCAAAGTGCATACAAGAGTAAGACAAGACTGTCTGCTTATTATCACCCACGATGATATTCTCAATTGTGGTGCTCGACTGGATTATGCATGAGACTGTTGGGGGGTGAGGAGTCAGGAATACGCTGGACGACTGCTGGATAAGAACACTCTAGAAGATCTGAATTTCGCGTGTGGATGATAAATGTCTAATGCCACACAAACACGAAGACTTGCAGGCAAAAACCAATAAACCGGCTGAAAAAAAGCAGCCAGTGAGGACAAGACTGCAGGTGAATATAGAGAAGACGAAAATGATGAAGATAATCAAAGAACCACAAACAACAACAACAACAGCAACCAGCACTAACCACCGTCAACGGAAGAGATTTAACAGAGGTTACCTCCTTCACTTATCTAAGAAGGATTGTTTCAACCAAAGGCCGTCAGAACGGATGAATATGTCAAAGCTGGCCTCACTCAATCGAAAAGGCGAGATACACTTTCATCAACCTGTAGCCAGTTTGGAAATCTTTTGAACACAGTCAGCATAAATAAGAAGATTCGGATTCTCGACACAAATGTGAAATCATCAGTTAGTGTTTCTATGCAGGTTTGAAACTTGGCAAGCGTGTCACGAAAAGCATTTCCAACAGCTCGTTGCAAACTTTTATCGACAACTGCCTTCGCTGGCTTCATACTGAAGATCAGATGACTCGGGGAACAGATCAATAAGGAGCCGAGAGCTGAACAAATATGTAGGAGAAAGTGGAAATGAATCGGATATACATTGAAGAGGCCGTCGAATGACATAGCACGCCAGGCCCTCAAGTGGAATGTAAATGGGAAGCGGCAACGAGTGGGTCGTTGGTTTAAGGATGACATGGAGGAGATCATGTGAGGAAGAGGTGAGAGATTGTCGGCAATCGTGGACCCAGCTCAAGAGGATGGCAGGAAACAGAACAAAGTGGAGATGTGTTGTTGAAGCCCTAAGTTCCAATACGAACGCAAGGGAATAATAATTATGAATAATAATCATCCTATACAATTGGTGGATGGTGGCTAGCAGTGGAATCCAGGATGCGCATTTCGTCCTATTTGGGACTCGTCAGCCCAAGTGGTCTAGTGGATAACGCTTTGGCGTTCGAAACTATGGGTACTGGGTTCGAGCCTCGGTGGGAACATCATCACTCACTGAGAAATGCAGGTACATCCAGCTGACGAGTCCCAAATAGGACGAAATGCGCATCCTGGATTCCACTGCTAGCCACCATCCACCAATTGTATACTAATTAAATACCCAGACATCGTCGAAGCATCTGCACAAGAAGCCGACATGTCAACCTGAGCACTTCGGTCCAATCAATCGACGGGAAAATCAAAAATTCAATTCAATAAATAATCATCCTAGTTTGGGACTCTTCATCGCCACGCACCCACAAACAAACACTTCAAAATCAATCCATCGTTCATTAATGACTGACTGACTGAATACCGGCTGAAGTTAATTGAAGTCCTAGTTTTGGTGCTAGAATAGATATTCCTTGATGACATTTGCTGGTGGTCGTGTTATGTATATATAACACGAAATGTCACTGGAGAAAATTCAAATTATCAGAGTCCAAAATCACACTGACCTTGGACAACCAATCAGAATTCAGATGCAAAAACATCACATAATCGTTGAAAAAATACACTAAATAATATTGCAAATTTGATGTTATACTGTATAGCTGCAGCTTATGTGTTGGAACAATGATTCCCAGCCAATACACAGATGACCTACAGAGAAATCGTACTATGCGTGCTATACCCATTCATCCAGATAACTGTAGGTCATACTACTTTGAGATCCAATGATATTTCTGACACTATTCTTCAACCTATACCGAACATTAACCCTAGACTCTAATCCTTAATCTTAAAAGCCACAACTCTACCTAACAGTATAGTTTTATAGAAAAAATTCCTAGGGAATTATGAATAGATTACTGTATTTAGTCTTCGCAAATCCAAAAAGGCAGGTATCATTTGATTTGGAATGACATTTCATAACACTCCTTGTGTCTAATCGGTTTTTAAAGGTCAAGTTTTGAAAGAACTAGACTTTGACTATGATACTTCAACTTCGTCGTCACTTGGTTGCATCCCAGTGGCTGAATAGTCAACAGATACACCTCGTAAGCTAAAATCCTGGGTTAGGTCTGTAATGGAGTTATGGGTCAGTACTGCTGAATAGCCCCAAACTAAGATGAAATAGCTATCTAGCACTCCCCGGTTTTCAACGAATTTCTAATTGAAGTCCGTTCTTTGATAATTGATTTTGAATATTTAATAACCAAAACCGTGAATACTACTGATTGGCTAATATGAGTAGTTAGAAACCAGTCACGCGAAGTAACAGTGTTTTCACCAGTTAAATCGAAGTGATCAAATTAGTGGATGACCCTTAAAAGTTTGTTTGGGGTCCAACCGCGTTAACGTTGCATCAGAAATGACTATGTTTAAAGAATTAAGGCTCAATGTTGAAGCTTTGACAATCAGAAATCAAAGTTTAGAGAGAAAACAAAGCAATTATACTTCCCACAAATTAATTATTCAAAGGGCCTTCAACACATCATGTGATAGTCAGAAAGAGAGGAAAAGGGGGAAGCGTAGTACAACTGCAAAGGATTACAATCCCAAGAGATATCTCATAACAACTTCTCGACCCAATAATACACATTATATAACCTACTCCACCCAAGGAGTTTTGATACACCAAAAGACGCTAACTTAACGCAAACACGATTCCCTCCGTCTTAGGTTTATCAAACAGTGAGTGGTATGGAAGGCATTGAAGGGACATCCGTAATAGATGTGCGAAAAACTCCTTGTCTTGGAATTAAATTATTGAGAGAAGATCTCTACAAATGTCAAAAAACACGCTGTCAGACCTCAGAATTATTTTGATGACGAGGTCACCGGGGCTGCAAGCAGTTCTACGGAGTTAATGAAAGGAAAACATGAAGAGAGAGACACGACATTTCTTCAATTTTGAGAAGCTAAATTCCATAGGTGCAGTGAAGCAATGAAAATTTAACCTTTTTAACAGCAGTTAGGCTAACGTGAGGCGATGGCACATTTGCGTATGATAGCATCACAATATTATTTCTATTATAAATAATCATTGTAAACACAGACAGACAGACAGACACATAGAAACTTACGGTAAATAAAAAGTTTCGTTGATATTTTTATTTTCATTCTGTGTAATTTTATCCAATGAAGTAAGACTACCACCATTAGGAATCGGTGCAATGACGATTGTACATCCACCGCCTTTAGATGGTGATGTGGCGGATAGCGTTGTTGTAGTAGTTGTTGAACGATTACATGTATCATTTGTCGTTGTAGATGAAATAAAAGGTTGAGCATATTCACGTGAATTTGTATTTACAACACTCCCATCAACTGAATGTTTACCATCCTGTATATACAAACAAACAACACAATAAGAAGTAACAAAAAGAGTTCGAATCATATAAAAGCAATGGGATCATTGATATACAGTTCAACTAATGAACAGGAATATTTACAAGATAAGGAAAATTACTAATGAATGAACTAAAGGTTAATCTTGATTAATTTTCAAACAATAAGAAGAAATTTTCAAGTGTCAGTTTCCAGGGATTTGATTAGTTACATGTGTGTTGATCACAAGCTGACATTATCTAAAAGACCATTGGAAAGCCAATGAGAGGTACTGGACAATTGTTTCTTCCTAGAGATCGAGACTGTTCATCAGTACGCAACCCACGACCTTCCAGTTACAAGACAAATCAGCGCGCAGACAATACTAGTCACTGGGACCCCACCCAATGGCTGTCCGTCTGTCCGTTTTTCGACATAGAACTTTTCTCATATGTGCGCCAGTTCAAGTCGCCAAACTCCCTCCATGTAGAACACAAGCCAACAGAAGAAAGTAGAAGAAATCTATAATTGAGACAGTAAACAGAGGTGTGAGACAAAGGAATAGCAGTAACGAAGAAAAACATAGTTTCATTGGAAATCAGAAGTCACAGAGAGTGGATGCATATGCACCAGCCATTGACAACCGGGATTTTGAGCCATGTCACCAATTGTTTCCAACCATTGGTTTCTACCGTCCCGAGAACCCCAACCAGACAGCAGTCTACACCTACCTACGTGGCTTAGACAAACTCTTGTGGATTTCATTGACTGGTTCCACGTTTTTGTTTGACCGCCGCTAGCTCTTTTCCAGCCTGACCCTATATCAGCTAACATTGCTCGTCGAGGAAGGCAATGACTAGGGATACGTAACGTAACACATGTCCTAACCACCTCAGTCGATTTAATTTCACAGCCTCGTCGATTGATTTCCCCTCCTTACCTAGAACTCGACCGACTAACCTCAATATTGCTCACCTTGTTATATCACTTCACACGGGAGACAGAACGCAAGCACCTATCATCAAAGACAGCCAGTCAGTGTTTTGATGTCTTCCACTCTGAATGGCCACATCTCGCTCACAGGCATAAAGGAGGACTGAGCGGACTGATGAGTAGTACACCCGCCCTTTGGTCGATAGCCAGCCGGATATCACGTCTACTAAGCCAGAGACGGTGTAAACTGGCATATGCGAAACTAGCCCCCTGTATCCGTACTCAGCTGAGATTTCGTCAGAGATCAACCTGTTGGCGTTCGCTGATGGTACTTCCCAAGTAAGTGAAGCGGTCAACGTGCTCTACCACTTCACTCCCTATTACTAATCTAGGAATCAGTGTAGTCCAGTCCTGTAACATCATCTCGCATTTCACGGCGGGAGCGAATCGCATCCCAAACATTTGTAGATTGCAGCTCAATGTGTTCAGAAGACTCCGCTGTATTTCGTCAGCGTCTTCGCCTACAAGGACTATATGGTCTGCATATTCTAAGTCAACGAGATTATTTACTGCTGGAAACAAGTCAATCCCTGAGTCGCTGAAGTCACTCAGGGTTAAGTCCATTAGTACTATCTATGATGAAGTTGAATAGAAAAGGGGATAATGGGCATCCTTGACGGACACCACTAGTCGTCACTAGTTCAGATGACAATTCGCCGTAAGCCCTCACCTGGCTGGCTGTATGAGTACGAGTAGAGTTCCTTAATCAGTGCAATATATTTTCTCGGCATTCCTTTTATGACCCAATGAATTTTAACTTCTACCAATACGTAATTTTACTGCGACTGGCACCAGTCTGTGTCATTGACGGCGAGTATTTGTCCTCACTCCCAACCAAGTGGTGGACCTCACTAACCACGACTTCTGACTAGAACTCCAGTCAACTTTGTCTCACTAGTCATAGTATCATACACTGTTCTCTCTACTAGAATACACCAGTTTTCCTATCTTGTCATTTCAGTGACACACAGTAGTATGATACGAACACTGCAACATATTTTGAATTGGCCTCAAGGAAATACATCGATAAAGACTTGTAACTGAACATTTACTCTATCGAAACTTATATATATATATGTAGACATTGAATGATATGCTTAAATATTGAATAATAAAACACACAAGATTAATCCAGGACAAATAAAAAATTCGATTCATTCACCTTAAAAACAATTAAAGAATCAAATTTCATCAAATAGCCAAATAGGTAATCTAATAATTCTATGATAAATTATAAACTGGAATGAGGCAGGTAGTTAATTACTTAATAGACAAGAAATACAAAGAATTCATCAAGAATGTTACCACTAGCAATTATTATTGGCCCCATATTTGATAACATCGCTCAGGTAATTCCTCTATTTAGGCGAGCGAATTCGCAGAAGTCTAATACTCCGATCGGCCTTCACTCAACCAGACATATGTTGGCATAGATCGATACCGAATAAGTCACATTTGGAAAAACAATTGAACATATACCAGGTCGACAAGACATTCCAATACTTATATACAAATTAACACAAAAGAGTAGTAAGAGAAATATATACAGAAGATAAACAATTACAATTACGGCAATCAGGAGAGATGGTTATATCCGTCGTGAACAAACCTTCCCGAAAACGTCCGCTTTATACTGAAGTAAGCGCTGAAAACTCTGTCTACGGGACAATAAAAGCTCCACAATAAAACACCCCAGTTCGCAGAACACAACTACAGCAATACATCCACCTAAATTATAAATCTTCACAATTATTTCGAAGTTAATAAGTGAATACTACAACAGAATTATAGAGAACGATGTTCAGTAAATAGCGTAATCATGAAAACATCTGCAACATATACTGTCGGAATGTCAAATAACAGGTGAGTGAAATGTGAGGTATGCACTGTGCTCAGGAGTCTCGTGCTAGAGAGGAAACAATGATATGAGGAAAAAAAATTTGTGCACTGCAGTAGAGTATAATTCCATTATCGGTAAAATTTGTCTTGATAAAGTTTCACAGTATTGTTATACAGTAATATATACTGATCACCACGTTTCGAGCACAATTTATTACTGCTCATCGTCATCATATCAAGACACTACTAACACAACTTTCTAACTTCGTTTATATAATTGCATTACTTTCCATAGTTTGATTTGATTGTTAGTAATATTTTCCATATTTCCGGTATGAGTGATAAGTCATTGCATCCTATTGCACGTGTTGGGTGTAGACTTGATGAACAAGGATTCAGTAATCAACTACCCTCTCTTTTCATCTACATAGATTACTTTTTAGAAAGAAAAAAGTGAGCTGCACACTAACGTTTACAGAAAATCAAAGCATTCTACTAATAGATATTTAAAGTTTAATTCATCTCATCCGTTGTTTGTAAAGGCTGGCTTAGTTAATTGTCTAACAAATCGAGCAGTAGCACTAAGTAGTACAAGGAAAGACCTAAATGACGAAATGAAACAGAGAGAAGAATGGCAGGTTGATATCAAATAGCTATCCTATAAAATTCATTAGGAAGATCAGAAAAGGTCAAAAGTAAAATAAAAAAATAACGGTGAAACTAATAGTGACAGCATAAATGGTAAAGAATATAAGGTATCTACAGTTTTACCATGTAAGGAGAGGAAATCTGAGACCTTACGTAGGATTTTTAATAAAACAGGAATTCGAGTGGCATTTAAACCTACAAACTCATTCAGGAACAAGCTCTGTGGGTTTAAGGACCTTCTCAGTTGACCCAATTAGACAAAATAATATAATTTACAAAATACCCTGCAATGACTGTGGGCTAGGTCAACTACATAGGTCAAACTAGTAGATCCGGTCAGCAGTGAGATTATCAGAACATAAGATTTTAGCTAAGGTTAGAATGATTGACCCTATTCGCGAAAGTGAGAAATTTAGAAAGAAACTCAGCAACTGCACTGCATGCAATAATACACAACCACACAAGAGGGTGAGACAGAGTTAAAATTCTAAAAAGTAATCTAGGTAGGTGGAGAGAGAGAGACAGAGAGGTGGGTGATTACTGCATCCTTGTTCATTGAGTCTACACCCAACACATGCAATAGGAATGACTCATCACTCATACCGGAAGTTGTGCTTGAAACGTCATTAGTAAATATTACCGTATAACATTGTGAGAAACAAATTTTACCCATAATAGGGAGGAAACACTTGTCCAGTGCTCCCTGATTTTTAATGATCTCTAACTAATGTTGGTTCATCCCAAAGTCCACATTGAAATAAGTTAAAATCAAGTTATTCTGAGTTGTATAAAGCTGTGACATATATAAACCAAGGATTCAGTTACCCACTGGCATCGATTTTTTTAAGCAACCAAACTATAAATCTGTTATGTACTCGTCGCCAAATTATTGCTATGTACTGGTCGAGAATTTAATAGTCCTGACGCAAGAAAGACGGAAATCAGAAGACCACTAGGTTTGCGATGATACTTCTATTTTCCAAACACAAGGAGAAAGCAATAAGTGGTATCACACCAAAGTGTCACACAAGATTGTGTGAGTGAAATATATATGAATGTCCAGACAAGTGTGTGGACAAATCAATAGACAGTCTTAACATGAATGGCTAATTATAAAGGAGTATCGATCCATATATACGTAGCAAAATATAGCAGACGTGTCAACAACCACACATATAATATGGATATATGTCACCAAGCAACGGACTGTCAACCAACACTCATATTATATATAATATAAGGGGAATATACATTGTTAAAGGAGACAGGTTCATCAAAGTGAAATGGTCACAGACTAAGCGAGCAAACAGAAAGAGAGACCACCATACACACATATATATATGGATACCTATCAAAATCACACATGTTAATCTCATAGTGTGACAGAACTACTCAAAACTTCTAACTGGATTAAGTGCAGCAAGATTCGAAGCCACTGATAAATAAGTCGAATGTGTGAGCCAATGAACCCCACATTACCCCATCAGCAAAACGTACGCATAAAAGAATTTATCAGTGTTGCTCTCATCGACTTTC